GACAGAGTCTCCATCTCTACATCTAAGGCTTGAGATAACATCGTTCTTCACTTTGGACAATGCATTTCCACTCTCTGATGAAAGGATAGGTATTGCTCTCACTCAAAATTGAAGAATTTGGTTTGGTGGTAGGCATCCATACAATTTGTAAGAAAAAAGTTGCCTCAAAAGTTAGTTTAGAAAAATACTGACAGAAAAGATTTGGTGAAGCATATAATGTCTGTTATTTTCTACACTAAGAGCAATGCAGTGTATTTTCTACAAAAAGAAACAAATCTATTCTTTCTTTTTTTTTTAAAGAAATTATCTGAAGTTAAGGTACAACTGCCACCGAATGCACTTTTTAAAAGTATTACTAAATCAAAATCCAGTAGTGGTATGCATAACCAAAATTGTAAACAGTGACCTAAAACTGCAATATATCAAATCCATGGTAAAGGGTTTCTCGTGAAAGGTCTGTCCTGTCAAACGTGTGTAGATTTGAACCTTTTCCTCATATTTTCTGCAACATCACACAAAATGCCACACAAAGCTGCGTGTGCCTTGAGACAGCGGCAGCAGGATGCAGACTGTGATGATGAATAGAGATGTCAGGTGGCAACAATAGAGGTCGCATCTTTAACTGGCTGACTGACCTGCGGTCCTGAATAGAATGGGTGGCCAAACCATTGAAAACGGCCATCAATCTCAAAACACAATGATGATTTACTCCATTCAGATCCCCGGGTGAGTGAAGACTGACAAACAAAGAGCAGTATGCCCAGTGTGCCCATATATCCAACAGCTCTGCAAATACCTGACAGAAAAACACTGATCCTCTTGAACATAGTACATATCCAGCCAACAATCTCCTGCTAATGAAGGATGAAATGAATTAAGAGAGCGATATCATGTCTGGTGTATATACAAACACTCTCACCTATTAGATTAATTGAAATGGGAAGCACATCAGGTTTCTATCTGCAGTATATTTTAAGAAAGTCTATGTGCAGGTTGTCACAGAATGAGAACAGACTTAGACCAATGTCTTTAATCTGTCTTGGTTTATTGAGGCTAAGTGGATCACCTAACGGTAGACGATGCTTCTTATGGCTTAGAATGAAGACACTGAGTGTGACTGAAGTGTTGCTAATGATGATGTTAACAGTGACAGAAATCACTGAGTGATCGCAGCCGTGTTTCTGAAAGTGAGGGAAAACATGTGAGCAGATGCTCATAATGACAGGCAAAATTGTTCAAAACCAATCTGATACAGATACAACTAAAGGCTACATTGACTAAATATTAAAGCTTGGCCCTTTTCTGGGAGCTGCTGAAATGGCTGTAAGAAAAATTTCAAAAGATCTTAACACCGTGGGGAAGATTAATTCAGAACCAGCCTCCCCTGGGGGACTGGCACCAGCAGAGTTGGAACAAGTCAGCCAAGTCATTAATGAAGTTATGACCACCGTCAATGCAGTGGAAGGAGATCTTAATCGCCTGCAAAAGTAGAGGACCAAGACTTGTTCCAGACCCATTAAGTTCACGACACACTAATTAGGGGGAAGAGGGAAAGGTTTGTAATCTCTTGAATTAGCTCAGCCTGGGGAGGCGTCTTGTGGGGCAGAGCTAAGAAACATGCTCAGGAGTGTGTGTAGCTACCACTGAACATATTCATAAATCACAAGTTCAAATTTACAATGTTAACCTTCCTCCCTCTCACAAAAGTGTCCATCTAACACATGGATTCAAACCTGGATCACCTGGACTAGTGTTCACTGACTAAAACAACCACCATTCTTAATTTAATAAAAAAGCATGAATATTTTTTTGGTTTGTTTGTTTAAAAGATTCCTTCTCACCCATGTTGTAAGTGAGGTTTACAAAAATATATTACTGTGTTAAACAAAACTGGAGTAACCCTGTTATCATATACATTACACTTTGTCCCATCACTAATTACACCACAGCTTTCATTTTGTCTGCTCTCCATTTATTGTACTGGAAACGGTTGTGTTTAGGGAATATCAGCAGACACTGGAATTCCATTGACTCTCGTATTTTCTTCACCATCATCAGTTTCTGCCCGTTTTATATGTGTCTAATATGAAAGTAGGACATTTCCCCACCAGCAGATCCTCCCTTGTGACTTTTGATTTTCTGTCATTTAGTTCTGCGGGTCTTATTTCAACATGAGCTCTATCCCATGGTCCCTAAAAAAAAAAGACTGATAGAGGGAAGTAAGACGTAGAAACCTCCAAGGTCACTCTTGGTTTCTCTCCCTTTGAGCCCGTGAGTTCCTCACGAGGCAGAGAGAGGTTCAATTTCTCACTGACTGTCAGGGGCTCCCGGTTTTTAAACACCTGTGAGACAGATATAAGCAGAGGAAGATGTTTCCTGACTTTTCAGTGTTATCTGAGGGACACTCTTTTTTCCCCAGCTTTATCTCTCTGTCAGTAATGGGCCTTCAGTGATTTCTGCCAGATATCTGTTGTGGATGGCAGGCAGATAGAGCAAAGCTTTCCAAGATACTGTAGATCTAGGATGGGCAGTTTTTCCACATCCCTGCCCCTCAGTGATTGGTAAATCCAACTGAGTGGCAGTTTGACAGACATCACACCTCTACTTCTAAGTATAGCTGGAAAAAGTGAGATGTGATTGATCTGAGTCGCTGGAGGAGTTGTGCACTGAACTTCTTTGACCACCGCCTTAATCAAAAGAACAGAGAAGTCATTTCTTTCTTTCGGGGATGATGAAGATATGCGTCAGAGAGCTTTGAAGTGATAGATCACGGACATCTTCATCTGGCCCTCTTGACTCTAAGCTTGTTGCTGTTTTTATTGTTTTGTAGAACAATCCACTGAGGGGAAGGGTACCATGTCAGAACTACTTTTTGAGTCTTTGATGCTAAAGAGTAATGGGAACTTCAAAGTCTTCAAACTGTGTGTGCGCCTGTTTGAGTGCAGGATTGACCGAAACAATATTAGCCTCCTGTTGACAAATTTATGATGAGTTAATTCCCTGGTGAGCACATGAACTTGTGGTCCCCTGTATCATCTCAATAAATATCCCCTAAAGTAATTTATCCTGCTTAGAGGCATTCAGATAACTCTCCAGCTCTTCACTTGGATCTAGCAAGTTAATGTTTGGAGGACTGGAGAGGAGTGGAAGTGCTGATAAGACAGCTGAAAGAAGGGATGGGGAATGGAGTGGTATAGCAACAGCCAGGACTCCCGTTGTTCCCTGTTTGGGGTGATCTCAACTAGTGCTGTTCCTGCTGCAGAACAGGGAGAGGCTCAGCCAGAGGCCTTTAAGTCTGTCTCTCCTTTTACATGGATGAGCTCCTTTGTGCTGCCATAGTATACATCCAGCACACCATATCTGAATTCAGCCCTCGTCCATCAAACTTCCACAAATCTAGGCAGCATCCGGCTGGTCAGTCAAGATAGAAAACACCCAGAGAATTCCTCAACAACAATGCCTTTGGCTCTCCACCCAAAAGACACACTCCAGGGCTCAATCAAGATATTTGTTACACATGAATATTTTGGACTGTGCTGTAAATTGCTCTATCACTGACATTTAACTTGATCTCCATTTTGAAGTATGAAAATTAGCAGCTGCTGCAAGAAGAAACAGAATGCAACATGAAGAGATCTTGTCATGTCCGCGTTCACTCCTCTTCAGCGTTTACACTGTAGCTGCCATCTGTGCCTGTGTGTCATCTAACTGTGCCATGTCATTGCAACCAACAAAAGCTGCTACCATGTGAGACAGAGGAAATTAATATATTAGCAAATTCATTTTGGTAAACACTGGAAATTCAAATATTGACTTCTGATATACAGTATTTACCAGATGTGGAAATTGTTTTCTAATTGAATGTTAAAGGTCTTGCCAATTTCAATTGCTAAGCTCAGTCTTTGGACTATGTTTCCGTCCATTTCCAATGATCTTGTGACAAAGAAAAGCAAAGATTATATTTCCTTTTCAGTATCTTAGAATTGGTTCACATTAATGTTGACAAATGAACTGATCAATACTTAACTGGTCTTTATTTCATACTATTTAATTTGGTAACAGTCCCGACTGCAGGTTGTCCCATCTATTGCACACATTTTTAATACTTAATCACACCTTTACAATAATGCAACACAAAATAAGCAGGGATTTTGCTGTAAATGAGGCTGTCGATGTTAGTCCACAAACCATGTGTGCCATTTGGTGTTAACTTACCCTCCCTCAAACAATCACAGATGCTGACTTTTGAACATTGCCTGTTAACAGGCATGATAGTTCCTCTGCTCTTTAGACTGGTGGAGGTGGAAATAGGCTCAACCCCAGAGATACAGTAGCAGAGAGGTTTCTGGATGCTGTTCATATATTGTCAGTTTAAGCATGGTCCCTAATAAAGAAGTAGAGGGAGGCACAGTGGTTAGCACCGCTGTCTCACAGCAAGAGGGTTCCTTGTTCAAATCCCCGGGGGGACCAGGAGATTTCAGTTTACATTCTCTGAGTGTCTGTGTGGGTACTCCAGCTTCCTCCCACTGTCCAAAAACATGCATGTTAGCTTAATTGAACAATCATAATTGCCACTAGGAGTAAATGTGAGTAAGTGTGGTTATTTGTTTGTGTGTGGCCCTGTGATGGACTGTGTAGATAACCCCAACCCTAAAGAGGATAACCCTAACCCTAAAGAAGTTATGGTTATCTATACCTACAACACTTTCAGTTCCATAAAATAATTATCTCTTTTAAGACATTGGTAAAGCCTATATATTAGACCATACTCTGTGTATACTCTATTTCATAGGAATACATTCATAACACTAAAAGTATGATCAATAATTCACCTGAAAAGTTTCTAGATATCCCTCCCCTACCTATGGTTTGCGAGGTCAGTGAGTGCAGAAGGTTGGACTTTAGTTTGGGTTTTGTCTTCGTCACTTCTCGCACCGACAGGCTGCGACAGAGAGCCAACTTATAAAGAGAGCTTCCACCACAAACGCGGGATCCGTGCCAGCCGGGGAGCACATGCTTAGCTCTAAGTCTTGTTTATAAAGGCGGCGTGCTAGTGTGAAATCTCCGAAACGTGCGCACGCCCATAGTATAGAAAGGAAGGGGGGGGGGTCGCACTTTACTCAGAGGCTATTAATTTCCCAGCTGACGTGGGAGCGAGAAAAAGCTGAGGGGCTGAACTGTCGACTGGCCATCTCTCCCAGTCTGGAGGAGAGGACAGAGGCGCACGCTGACCTGCGCGACACACAGCCGGTTTTTATCCCCACCAGGACTCGTGTACGCTCTCCTTGCGTGCTCATCCGTGGACGGACAGACTCCACTCAGAGCGATGACTGGTGGGAATTATCCACCGGCTCTCTGTCATTTCTCCGGCGTAGCTCGCCCCACCGCCACCCGCCCTTAGAATAAAAGCTCGCCGGGAAGCGACTCAGCCCCACCACCGTTGTCTAACAGCTGGGATTGACACTTTACAATGTCTTGACGTGGAGGGTGAGACACAGAGATGATGACAGTGAGTATATGGTTTTCGCGTAAACGCCATCGTTGTTGTATTCTGGTCACTTTTGGCTCTTGTGGTGGTCATTTCGTGCGTTGCAGACTTTAATTCTGGACCGATTGTGGTGCATGAACAAGGGGGTCAGTCCGACGGCCGCTGTCGTGGGTGACATCCGCCTGTGAGAGTGTGATATTGGGCGTTTCTATCGCTGCTGTTGCCGAGGGATATCAGGTTCCTCCTGGGACTTTTTTGGGAACATTACATCATTTGACTGCCCCTCTGAATGACTGTGCAATTTGATGAAAGTACACGCTGTCTCTTTCAGCCGTATTTCAACTAAATGTCTATTTGGAGAAACTATTGTATGTCTGTTGTCGGGTGTAGTCGTGCAACTGACATGCCACTGGAAGTGGGTTTTAGCGCACGCACAGACTGGGCGTATGCGGTGATGCCCCCTTAAAACGAGAGGACAGGGCTGGAGGCATAGTTTCTGGCACATCATTTAAACACCCACTGTCCAAAAAAAAAAGAAAAAAGTCGCCCGGCTGTAGGGTGGATATCGCTGCAGCTGTCAACATTCATGTAATTTGCCGGCCGAGTCCAGCCTGTATAGTCTTCCTGCGTTTCGGTTAATCCCACAGCGGATCAGCTTTAGCGCTCCAGCCTGGCCTCATGGTGCTTCCAGTCTCTCCTATACTCACACTTTAAATGATTACATTATTGTAATCATGTGACCATCGTGCACTGACGCGGTAATAGCTATATAGAGACCAAGGAAGCTGCGCAAATCGGGATCGGAAGGGAAGGGATCTGTGGCAGAGATTTGGAACGCGATCGCAGTTCCTGAATCCGGGTTTTTTGTAGCACTTACAGGGTGACAAAGCCAACATGACAGGCTAGTTCTCACACCATGGAGACTGGTGACCGCATACTGTTCCAGCGCGCTCGATGAGCACCTCGGTAAGGTTGTTCTCTGCTGTATTGATTTATACAAATGTTACCTACTTAGGGGCGTTTTGACACTTATCATAATCCGCACGGGGCTTTATTTTTCATGGAGGGTGATCATTTGTAACTATTAGGCCATAGGCTGATGTTAAATGCGCTTAAATTCTGGTTTCTTAACATTCCATGCCAAAAATATACAGCTTGTGGATCATTTCTCAACTAACTTACATCATAAAGCATTTCATTTCTATCCAAACATAAAAGTGTTATCAAAGATCTTGCACTTGCCTGGTTTATTACGATGTAAAAGAATGAAATGATACTGAATTTAACCCCTTCTTTGAAAATGTAGAAGCTCCCAACTGTTTTTTCAATAATTAGTTCTGTTCATTTATTTTGTGAAACTTGTTATAACATTGTTGCTTGAGCTAGGAAAGGACAATCTAATTCTTATTAGGGTTGATCTATGGCTCTGTTTGTATATCTGCCAACCTCATCTTTGCAACAGCGTCACTTCTGTTTTCTTTTCCCTGCTTCATGCAAAAGCGTAAGTTCCTCAAGGCATGCTGGCTTCACGTTTCTACACCACATCAGCACTTTTAATACTGTCTAAGATGCTGAGTCACATTGCTCATCCTTTGACGTGAACAGCCGGTTATCTCTCATACACAATCTAGAAACCTTACCACTTTGTGAGGTCTTGCTGGGTATTGTGCAAACAGAATGCCTACCCCGTCCTCTAGGTTAAAAGTTTCATAACTGACTCATTTCCAGTGCGTCTCATAATGTGCTCACAGTGGAATGCGCTTTTAATTTCTCTTTGCCTTGAGACAAAATTGGGTGTGCCCTCCTTTCATTAAGTAGTACAAGTGTTGACACTATATTAATGGGCTTCTGTGGTGAAAAAACTAATAACTCTGTGAGGGAAGGCTCAGGTCAGTTGGAGATTTGTGGAGGGTTGTAAACAACTGGAACATTTTCATTAGCTGCTCACTAATCAGTCAGTGATTGCGGCTCCTGCAGGGCCATCACCATCTGAGGTTGGTGAAAACTCTGGAATCACCTGTTCATGCCACCCTTTTGGTGATTTGTGTACTAACACAACTCTGTCAGTCACTCTCAGCACTCACAAAACCCTGTTTTGTCCCTGTGGTGTTGTGCAGATGTAACAGTGGGTGGTGGGATATTATTCTGACACATCCAGCCACGCAGACTCCGCCCTCACTGTGTATGAAATGTTTGTCATGTAAGAAATGAAATGTTGTCTTGGTATTGTCTATTAAGTATGGGGAAACCCAGAGTTGCACAGATGTTGTAGAAATGACTGCATAACAAGACGATTAGAGACAGTGACAGCTAAGCTGCAGCAGAAAGGAAGTTCCTGTGGGTCAGGAAGTGCTTTGAGTTTGCCTGTCTCAAACCAAACTACAACACTGGTATAACTAATCCAACCCCTGCACACTTCCTTAAATTGTCCTTTTCTTTTTTCTCTTTTCCTTCCCTTCTTTTCAAGGGTTTTGTCAAATAATGAGTCTCCCTCCAATTCAGTGTTCCACCAAACTCATTCTCCCTGTGTGTTCTTTTTTTTGCTCTTGTTGCAGGATTATCGGGAGGATGGCATGGACCTGGGGAGTGATGCGTCCAGTCGCTCCAGCTCAGAGTCCAACTCCAACAAGGTCACACCTTGCTCTCCTTCTCTTGACCTGGCCACTTTAGAGGATTACAAATCCTCCCCTTCGCCGGATCTTGTCACTTTAGAGGACTACGAGGAGGATGAGGACTACCAAGAGTATAAGAAGAAAGTGATAGAGGAGTGGGAGAGTGAATATGGAGAGGAATATACATCTCCACAGCCCTCCGGTCAAGGGGAAAGCAGTGAGGGCGTCGTGAGTGTCGATGGCCTTGGTGAAGGCTACAGGAAGACGGTCAACAGTCGCAGCCTTGCTGAAGAATTCCAGGATATGAAGACCGTCCCGCCCCTGCCAGCCCCTGAAGGACGCACCGCCACCACAGTAGCAGCCGTCCCAGAAGAACTCAAACAGAATGGGAATCTGATTTTGCCCAGGAGCAACCAGCTCCGCTCTCCCAGCACACCGCGGGGGGTCACGGGGACTGCCAAACCCAGCCGCCGCAGCTCCAGTCAAGGCAGGGGGAGCCATGCTGGTGGAGGGGGTGGTGGTGGAGGAGGAGGAGGAGGTGAAGGAGGAAGTGAGGGGACTGGGGGACTGGTGCGAGACTACAGAGAAGGGGAGGTTTTAGAGGAAGAGCCTCTGCCTACCATGGACTGGGCAGCCTTAGAGAGACACCTGGCTGGTCTTCAGTGCAGAGAGCAGGAGAACCAAAACCTCAACCAAAACCAGAACCACAACATGGGCAAGACCAACTACACCTCAGTGAGTGCGCATGTTTCTTCCTGTGAGATTCTAAGATTTTGAGCCTGTGCATGTCAAAGGTCATCCCACTCCTAATGCACCAGTGAGCAGCATTAATCCAGCAGTTATCCATGTCAGCTGGACCCTGGAAACACGAGGTTTGGTTAGCTCGAGTAAAGAAGAGGGATTAAGTTGGCTAATGTGGCGCAAAGCTATGCGACCCATCTATTAACGTGACTAAGATGGTAGCATATACAGCTGGAGGGATTTGAAGGCTGTAGGGGAGCTCTTAGAGCGCAGAAATTCAAACCCTCTTGCATGTAATTTGGAATAGACATCACCAGGGAGTAGATTGATGCCGACAGATCTTTAAGCCAGCTGTGAATTGTTATATTAGATCTTTGTCAACGCATGAAGGGTGACAGTGTAACCAAATTTGTTAGGATAAGTGCGTTCCTTCTCATGGACATGTGGGGTTTGTACCAGAAGAGGTCAGTGTTGCATTGACATTGTGGACAAAGCAGCTGTGGGCCTCTCATGCCCTCACCGGCAGCTCCTGCCATGAAGGCTGCCCATTTTATGAAACCACACCTTACATCATAGTCTGAGTCAGTTTTGCGTTATAATGATAATCTGTCGGTCCATAAGGGTGTAGTTTAAAATTATGCCGGGAGGCGTAGGAGAAAACTGCTCACAGCAGCTGGAGTTTCAGTGTTGTTACGTGGAACTAACCGAGGGCAAATGTGTCCCTTAGAAAAAGCCGGGTCGGTGCACGCCATTGATATGCGAGTGCCAAGACCTTTTCTTCTGTTCACACACACAATGGCTGCAGCCAGGGCTATTGTGAGTGTGTTGTGTGTGTGTTGTTTGTGTCCTGGAGGTCCTCCTCTGTCTCCCTGAGGCACGTCAGGAATGCAGGGAAAGAAGTGGGGGATGAGAATGAGGAAAGAGGGAGGAAAGGACAAAAAGGGAGTAAGAAGCTAAGGGCAACGTGGCTCGTGTGTTTGTGTCAGTGTTCATTAACTGCTGTCCATCTTAAACAAGAAGATCACCCCCTGCTGAGCTGTAGACCAGAGAAAGTCTGCCCTACCCCCAGTCATTCCTTATGCATGGGGCCATGATTTATTTGTGCCGGGTGGAGAAACATGTTTTTTCTGCCACATGGAGCCACTATCTCTTGCCTGCTCAAATGAAATGGCATGAATTCACACATATGCATCTCAGCACTGACATATTGTTGTTCTCTGCAGGTGTCTCATTTTGTTTGTACATCAAGGCAGACTAAAGGCTTGCTGTTGCAGATACAGAGACAGATACAATGGCAATGGTGCGAAGCTGCTCAACCAAGCTTAGGGAAAACCATTCAATGGTTTAGAAATACTGGAATTAGCTGTGTAATCCCAGCTCATCAGGGACCAGATACCAGAACAAACATTTTACAATCTTTTATTGTCTGCAATGTCTTTTACAAACTGTCACAGAGGAAAATAATCATTTTTACTCTTTAACCTGGAAAATAATCATTTTTACTCTTTAACCTGGTAACAACAGCAGAAAAGCAGTCTGTTGGCAATTATGGGGAAACTCCTTCAAGAGATTTCAGGTTTCTATTTATGCTAATGGTTTTTTAAAATAGTATTTTATCGGTAATTGCCTAACTGATGAGACACAGTGGAGGAAAGAGGGTCTGATGCTAAATATTCAGGCTTCCATTCAGTTGGGACCCACCGGCGAGACAGTAAATGTGTTCTTATACAGACAAATGTGTCCGTCTGGGATGTCACTGAGGTCCAGTGGGACAGATGTTCACGCTTCAGTTGAGGTTCCAAAGCATCTGTGCTGCAGAAAGGCAGGTCAAGATAAACTCAAATCTAATAATCTGCAGACATCCTTAAGTGCCTTCAGGCCGGTTTAGCTGGTCTGCTGTTGCAATGGGGCAGACTGCTTCTTGTAGATAAATGGAAAAAGACTCAGGGATCAGTTAATCAATGGTTTGCCAGACCAGCTGACAGGCTGAATCATCTCTCTGTATACTGGTTATCATCTTCATATGGGCGTGTTTACACTTTATAGGTCTTTAAAACTCCACTGTGTCTTGTGCCATAAGAGGTTTCATCCATCCTGTCCTGTTTCTTTCCACATCAGCCCTGTGTAAAGGGAACAGTCATATAGCTGTAGGTGTGTTTAGTTAGGGTGTGGCTTCTAGCTGCTGTTAAGCATCTGCCTGCAGGCACTGCATCTGGAGGCATGGTGACCTGCTCATAATTTGTTTCTAATGAGCTCTGGAGCCACGTGGCAGAAAAGGGTCCAGAGGGACCTCAGGAGCACTGAAGGAAACACAACTCCACTCTGCTGAGAGGGGAACAATAATATTTTCCCTCGTATCCAGTTTTCATGTTAGAAACAGACAAGGGGTTTAGGTGTACGGATGGCTGTCTAAACTCTAAGATGGACGTGTTGTGTATTTTCAAAAGCTTATTCGAAGGAAGTATTGAATCACTGCCTCGCAGCGGCTTCTTTTGCAATCTCAGAGCTCACACACCCAGCCCTTCTCACATAATTTAAAAAAACACCCCATGGGCAGAGTGTGATTAAGAAGATGCTGAGACTTGCTGCTCTACACTTGCTTACAACATGCGGAAAAAAGTTCTGTTCCAAACTTGCCTGAGTATCCAATTCACGAGCTAAAAACAATTAAGGCAAACGATACTATACTTAGGTTGCTAAACCAATTACGATGTGTTTACAAAATGTCATACGTTAAAGATACAGCATTAGCAGTGCAACTGAAATTAGAGCTGCAAAGCATCTCCAGCCCAGTGAGGAGCTTTGCAGGACTATTTTTCTTTTCTGAAGGCAGATTTGTCCTTTTCCAGCCAGCAGCAGAAGTAGTAGTGCTTATTACAGACAAGCTCACCATATAAACACGCGAAAAGACAAGAGTCAAACCAAATTGTTCAAGGCAGGCTTTGCCCCAGAGAAACACTCATAGGTTGTGGAAAATGAAAAGATGTGAACAGAGGCTCAGACTCAAGAAAAGAGCAAAAGCTTAAAGACATTTTCCTCTCTCTGATGGGGATGTTCGGCAGTTGAACTCTGTTCGCCACCCCTCCCGAACAATCTAACTACTACCTTCTCCCATAATTTAGACTGTGCCACGTAAAACTGGCGTAGTAGGAGATGGAAGAAATTGCAGGGTTTAAACAGTCTTGAGCACAGTCAAAGAATGCACGAATAGGTTAAAAGAATCACAATGAAAAAGCTAGCGTGAACTACAAAGACAAAGCAAGGAGGACTGTGTGAAATAGAGGTGAGAGGAGTGTGATGTCAGAAGTGTGGTTTGACTTATGATAGAGTTGATCCAGCTGGAAAGAATGAACAGTCAACATATGGATTAGTAAGGACAGAATGGAAGCTTGAGGGATTGGGGGTGGGACTTCATCCAGGTGTGAGGACTTTCTGGTTTCTGGAACAGCCCTCTATGCAAAATCACTGCTCTGAGTGTGTGTGTCTGTGTGTGTGCGCGCGCGTGTGTTTCCACGTATGTGCAGAAACCAGCTGAAACATGCCCAGTCTTCTGCACACAAAGGCTCTTGTAAACACACTCGCACCCACACACACACATTCTCGCCGCACCATATCTGCTTCAGAGTCTCCTGTTAGTCCAGACTCACATGCACAAACTCACCCCAACCTTTCCCATGAAAGGATACCTTTTTCTTCTCCAAACAGTCTGCCAGTGTTGGTAGAATTTTTTTCTCCCTTTTTTTTTTCCTTTTTTCATCTGCGGAATACTTTTCATCCCAGTTTAACCTTGGATTCCTCACAGCAGGCTGGGCATTTAACTCAGGTAAAGGAGAACGTAATCAGTATGTAAAGGTGTGCTTTTGGTCCAGCTTCTCAATTTTAGCCATACATGTAATGAATATTAAACTGCAGAAAGTACATGCTCAGAGTTAGATAAGTTGTTTGGCAAAAGGCTTGGTATTTAATTATAGCTCCGGGCACTGCATTCCTCTGCTGTGACAGACTTTCTTTTGAGTTTGTATGTAACTGAAGAGGTAGATAATGTTGAGAATAGAACAAAAAGTAAAGCCAGCTGCCTATGCATCACATTTCTCTCAGAAGTCAAAATATTTCTTTATATGACCCTGTAACAAAGAGCAGGCTCAGGCTTGTAGGTTTCTGACCATATGTGGGTTGAAACTTAGCTCCCATCTGGATGACTGAGAATCTTCACAGTTAGCTGCCCTCTCTTTCTCTTGAGTTACTTATTTTCTAAAAGTGGATCTTTGTGTTGTTTTGTACTCTCTCTTTACCTTAAGGGACAGAGAGTATGAGTGTGTTACACCAGGCTGAGCTCATGACAAAAGTCAGCTGATTAAAAGCCTTTTTCCCCCTGGTAATCATGTGTCTAGTGCTGGAAAGCTCCTATTTGGTTCTTGTGTCTTTGCACCTGCTGATGTCAACCTTTTCCTTGTGGGAGAAGAAAGGAGGGGGTAGAAGCAAATCTTTGCTACAAGGTACCCTAAATGGGTAAGATCATTCACTAGACTTAACAGTCAGTGAGAAGGTTATTTCATCCGCTTACCTCCACCATGCTCATTTACCCAAATGCCACCACAGTGTGTCAGGACTCAAAGATAGTCCGATTAGCTGTTGAGGACTGAAGCCAGCTCTTTAATCGTAAATGTTTTATCGTTGATATATTCACTTCAACATGCTCCCCACATTCTCATTGGCAGTATACCCATATTAGTTGTGTCTATAGTTCTTGCACAAAGTGATCATTTTTATTTACAATATGATTGTAATTCAGGTACCACACTGTATGAGGTGGATGGATATAGCATTTGTGATGTTCCCTAATGGTTAGTGGATTCATATTTAGATGCATTTTATGTGTTGAAGCCATAACCATCCGACTGTTAAGAGGCTGGTCAGTCATAGCTTGGCACACTTCAAACTGATGTTCAGTTTATTTCCTTAAAAAAAGATAATATCTAATCAAATGTGAATAAAGCTCTATTAGAGAATAGATTAAGGGAACTGTTAAGGTGTCC